GGTGATTGGTCCAAGGCTTGGAAGGCCAGCCAGTCCCCTGTGACTTGGTGTATAAAGACAGATTGCAATAATGACATAGCTATCCCAAGAATTTGGTATTTTGATTTCTAAACTTGTTAACCACATGTAAGATAAGTAATCAAAGGGAACTGTTGGGAAAAATTAAGAGTGGGAAAGACAAAGAATGGAAAGAGTGAAAAGAGAAAAAGTGGGAGAAAGAGACACAAGAGGGACTTTGAAATGACAGAGACAATGTTGTTTATGAGAGAAAGAGAACAATCTTGATTTCAGATGGGTTTTCTGTTCCAAAGAGACTTGAATGGAGTAGAAACAATAATAGAGAAACTTTAACATTTGCTAAGCACACCATCGCTTGGGTAACCGCATTATTGTAAGATAGTAATGGCTCTCGAAGTTCCACTCCCTGATTTTCTGAGTGGGTTTTGGACTCAGGGGTAGGACAAGGTCTGCTGGTGGACTTTAAAATACAGACCAGGCAGGCAGGCTGAACTTGGACTTTTTTTGGCTAGCTCCCACCTGCAGCTGGGAACTCTCCTGGCTGACTTCCTGTCTGTGGCTTTGGGGCTTTCTAGGCTGGCTCCCTGCCTGAAGGTCCTGCTTGAACCCTGGCCTCTGCTGAGCAGATACTATCAGGGATAGGATACCTGCTTGCTGGCCAATACATTTTCTTTATCTAAGCTCTCTCCCATTTCTCCCTTTGTCTCACTCCCTGTGTAAATAATCTCTTTTTGTTTCTCTGTGTGACTGCATTTGGGCTGTGCCCTGCCAGTGAGGTGCTCAGCTAAGGGCCTACCAATAGGCTCATTCCCTTTCCCCTTGGGTTTGCCCCATTTTATTAGGATTTTTACAGGAATTGTTTTATTTAATTCTCACAATTCCCCTAGAGCAAAGGTGCTGCCATGACCCTAGCTTTGCAGATGAAAAAAGCTGAGATCTATGGAGAGCAAGAAACTTATTCAAGGTCATGCAGTTAATAAGCAGAATTGGGACTGTTTCATTTCTTTAAGATATACATAGCCACGTTTATTGCTGCTTTATTTACAATTGGAAAAACATGGAAAAGTCTAAATGCCCAAAAGTGGATGACTGGATTAAAAAGATGTGGTACATATACACAATGGAATATTACTCAGCAACCAAAAAAAAAAAAAAAAAAGGAAACACATGTCCACATGTCTTTTGCAGCAACTTGGATAGAGCTGGAAAAGATCATGCTTAGTGAGATAAGCCAGAAAGAAAAAGAAAAACACCGGATGGTTTCGCTCATAGAAGGAGTATAATGGACCAGGCGAGAAAATAATAAGAATAATGAACAGCCATATACCAGAGACATTTTGTGGGGGTGGGGAATGGGATCAAAACCAGGGGAGGGAAGTGCATGGGACTATGGTGATGGCACACGGGTAACTCGGTGATGGGAAACCCATGGGGATTACAACTGAGTTAAAAAAAATGTACAAAATGATGTAAAAATAAACTATTACATATATATGTAATACACACACACACATATGTGAGATATACATAGCCCCATAATCACCAGGCTGCACCGAGACCTAGGTCTGGTCCTAGCTGGCACTTAGAGTCTTCCTGGATCTGGTGCCCTGCCCATGAGCTGGACCTGACAACAGCTTTTCTAACTCCCAGTCTCTCGTCAGCACCCCCTTGCAGTCTTCCTGACCTCACTGATGCTCTGCCTAAGTCTCCAGGTGTCTTCTGGAGCCAACACCCCTTTTTTGCATGCTACTGTGTTGAGGGAGTCAAGGCAGTAAGGCCTCCCATAGCTTTCTGCTCCATCCCCAAGCCCTCGGGACATGGTGCCAGTCTGGTCTCTGCATTCTGGGTTTGTCCCTCAGGTTGCAAAGTGGGAGAAATGTTACCATTTGGGTTGTGGCATCTCTGCATACAGCACATCTCTGCACTCCTGAGATGGCTTCTGTTAGGAGAGGACTTTATGAAAAAGCTTTTCTGTCAGGCTTCAAAGGGATACTGATTAGCACATTAAGGCAACTAGCTAGAGTTGAGTCCTTATCTCTGGGTAAACAGACTTTGCTAATCAATAGACACACTGTTTTAATAATGTGGGTGTACTGGATTGTGGGAAGTCTGTATCAAAGCACTTTGTTCATAGGAAAACTAAGCAGACATCTTAATTAGTGATTAAGAGGATTTGATTTCTCAACTCTGGTGAGGATACATGGGAAGAAATGAATGAGTTTTTAGATGGACCATAGATTTAAATGGTCTGTGGGACTCTTGACTCTTGAATTCTTTATCAGGATAACTTAGATTTTTTTTAATATTCAGGTTTTTTTTTTTTTTTTATTTAAAGGTTTATTTGTTCATACAGAACTGGGGTACAGGCCAGAGGTGCCGGGATGGTGAGAGGCTTCACCAGAGACAGAGTGGGGAGAAGAACAGGCAGATCGATGAAGTACACTGCTAAGGGGAGCAGCGGGCAGCGGGCGGGTCAGGAGAGGTCTGTCACGCCATGTGGTCCCCTCAGGGGCAGGCGGGGATCGAACTCATGCGGAAGTGACTTTAGTTTCTTAGTGCTGTGCTTTAACCCGCTGCACCACCAGGGAGGGCCTAGATTTTTTTTTTAAAGTTTCAAATCAAGAACTGGCTTGCTTTTTAAATTGGGTTTTTTTGTTTGTTTGTTTGTTTGTTTTACAAAATAGTACTTTTACAAAAGTACTAACAAGGTTACCAGTTAGTTTGCCAGTAAGAGTAACAAGGAAAAGTGATTCCTATTACAGTTCAGAGTCCCTGCAGTTCAGGTCACAAGTCAGCTGAATTTTTCAATGCAATATCCTGACACAGTGTAACACAAAACATCAGGACTCCATGGAATGATAACATAAAAATTATTAATCCAACTTAAGAAATTAAACTAAGCAGATGTCCTTCTCCTTATTTGAAAATTCAAATTATTTGAATTTTTCTCAAATGATTCAATGTGTCAGCTGAGACCACAGAATAAAACATTGGTTTCCAGATGCCCTATAGAAAATGGCGGGGTGCAGGCCATTGTCGATGAGTCTTTTGATTAGACTTTTCTTTTTCAATATCCTTGTAATATCAGCCCAGGTGACACTATTGCCAAATTAATGACACTGCTTGTTTACTTGGGATGGAATTAAATAAACAGCATTTACACTTTCAGAGAAGACAGAACTTGGACTAAGCTGTACTGGCTAGAACTAAGTAAAAAACTATAAGATAGTAGAATTGTGTCTTGAGGATACAGTGGGGTTAGGATATGCGATAGCAAGAAAGAATTCCATTGAATTTTTTCTCCTAAAGCAATTCTCATTTTGTGAGACACCCTTTGCCTAAATAACATGCTCTTAGACTATCAGATTCCAAACAATAGCACCATGCACTGAGCATGCCACTGGCTCCTTGACATCCCAGACAAGGTCACCCACCTGACAGCCTTATCCTCCTGAGGAATGAAAAACAGCTGAGGTGTGTTGTGGTTACCTTGCTGGTTTACTCTTTACCTGCTTGGCTTCACCTAATTCAATTTAGGGTTAAGTGGACATGCAACATTTGAAATATAAGTTCTTTTTTAGGAAATACAAGGTCCTATAGCAACCTGTTTTTCACAAACAGTACCTTAGACATGAATAATACAATGTATTATAAACAGATTTGTCAGGATGCCAGAAATTATTTTAGGGTATTGAGATCAAGTTGATAATCTCTCATTTTCAAATTCATAGTGGTACCCTCGATAATGGCCTCCAAATCAAACTTATGCAATCTAAAAATAACCAGTTCTTTTTATTAATTTTGGTCCGTTGAAATCTTGGATTCAGAGACAACAATTTCAAGACAAGAAGGACCTACAGGAAAATATTAAATTCTAACCTCTAAATGTCAAGCCCGACAGGTATGCAAGTATAACTTTCTGAAAACTTCCTTTCCCAGGAGTATGCCTGGGGCCATTTAAACCTAACGATCTCTTCAAAATTCTATAAACATAATCTGATAATCACAGCAGTGACCAGCACATGAATGTTCTAGAAATATGGATTGGAAATTGAATAAAACAATTATCAAAAGTTCGGGAGGCTAAAGAGATCTCCAGAATCTTCCAGCCCAGATTCCTAATTTTCAGATGGGTCAGAGGGTCCAGATCTGCACAGCTGGTTACTGGCACAGCTTGGTCTGCAGCTCAAGATCCCTGACCTCAAACAACTTTGCCCAAAGTCTCTTTCTTTTCTCAGGATCTTTATGCACTTGAACTTCAAAGACTGAAGAAGCCTGTGTCCAAAGCTCAGACCACCCATCAGGTCAGCTACCCATTTCTTGCATGGACAACATCTCCAGGGCAGGCTGTCTTGCAGTGGACATCTGCCCGGGAGTCATTTACTATGAGAAGTCAACTCGACTTTTCCCTAGAAAACTACCTTATGTTACCTTAATCTGAAATGGTTTGTAAAAAGGAATAATGCCTTACATTTGCATGTGACCCATATTAACTTTAAGTTATTGTCCTTTAAGGGCCATATGAAAATATTTACTAGTTTGATGTTAGTAAATGAAGTCTTAACGTCAATAGGATTATAATTGTGAGAGACTAAGTTGTGGAACTTACTAATGATTCCCAATGTCTCTGGCTTGATGGAAGTGGGGGAGGAGGTCAGGCAATGATCTCACCAGTCTCTGTTTACACATTGCTCTGGCTAGCTTCTCTCATTATTTCAGTGCAGCCATGATTTATTTGAACAGGAGGTGGCAGAATTTGTACTTGACCTCTAACACCAAATGCCCAGGTTTTAAGCATAGTAAGTGGTGATGTCAGCTAGATTTCATAGGCTTTTGGCTGAGTCCTAAGCAAAGAGCAGGAGAAACCTAGTTAAAGATTAACTTTCCATCACAGGATTTCAGGGTGCTGAGCTCACAAGTTATTCTCTGCAGGTGTGGTTGCAGGACCTCAGGTCTCTCTGCTGCCCACACTTGGACATTACCTGCCTTGGCTGATTGACCTTTGCTCCTGAAGACAGTAATAAGCGAATGACATCCAAGTAACCACCCTGGGCGGCTAGGAAGAGGGCAGTGGCTCCATCCTGAAAGAAATCAATTTGAAGGTTTTTAAAAAATCACCTTTAACATACATTTGCCGTAGAAGAAATTAGATAAAAAGGGAGAAAGTAAGGGAGATTTAAACATACCTTTAATTTTCCATCCCCATACCCAAACCCGGTCTCATGTTAAGTGTTTCATTCTTTGAGAATGATTCTAAAAATACTACGATACATCAGACTGAAGGCAGTTTCATAGTTTTATAAGGATCTGTTATAACTTATAAAGTGACTGTTCACACTACAGAATCTCGATAATAGAGCTCAGGATGCATTCAGTTGGCAGTAACACCCAAGTTTTCAAAGAGCCAGTCATAATTTTTCTCACCTGCATAGACTCCTCATTAGCTACCTTCTGCATGCTTTCACCCCCCTTTTAATTAGATTTTAAAAGCATACATTTAGTGCAATTTTTCATTTCAACTCTTTTGTCAACTAAGAGCTAAAAGTTAGAAAAAAGTTAAGTCTGTTAGTAAAAACACAAAAAACATCCCTAAACGATTTTGCATACTTTATCCACGTCCCCCTCACATGCAGCTTCTTCAAGCTTTAGAACACAAGATGTCCTATGAATAACCACACTAGCAAGAGTCTCCTGGACATGCTCCCTGCCAGCCCAGCAGACTCCAACACACCTGTAAACACAGCTAGTCATCCTGCATAAACACCCCCAGGCAAATGCTTATTCTCTAATTTTCTTTTTAGTTGGGAACCTATGTCTTCTGTACTTTTCTTACTTTTTTCTTGGCAGATGTGCCTTTAGGAGATTTTAGCAGATACATGGGTCATCTGAGAGCAGGAGTCCTCTCCAGATGTTCGTCCACACAGACAGCATTTACAAGATTTAGGCAACTTCATAATTCTTAAACTGCACTGGAAAACCCAAGGACATCCTAGTGGAAAACACCTAGTTCACCCAACTAATCACCACCCTTGCCATTAGGAACACTACCCACAAGCCATAATACCAAGCAGCTTTCCCTGCCAGTCCAAGCAGGTGGCAGGGGCTGGATTTCCAGTGAGTGGCAGCTGAGTTGCTGGACTCCCCTGAGGCAATCATTAAAAATTCATCAGCCAGTACAGACTTCTAAGCAGATGTCTGATATGGTGATAACATTTTCAACTGCTCTTTACTCTGTTGCCACAGGAAGTATATCCTGCCTTAGTAGCTGATAACTCACAGGGATTATCTAAAATGGATATCCATGCATTGGAAGTTTTATTCTGTTATAAATTTCTCTTCCTGGAAGTTTCCAGATCATTCAATGGGATGCCCTATATTTCAAGGTAACGGAAACACATGTGGACTGTTTCAGTAAGGGCAAGCATTTTAACATAACATGGAAATTTTGGTGCATAAGATTTCCTGAGTCCCTTTATAATAGAGAGGAGTCTACATTTTTAAGATCAAATGTACCTGCTCAGCCTTAGGGATGAATGTTATTTAACAGCACGTAGTCTATAACCACAGTTTGGATTGCTGACTATTAATGGGAGTGCTATGACAATCACAACTCATTTATCTTTTGCAAAGATTTGGTTCTCTCTGTTCAACCTACATATACATATACTCATGTATATTCCCAGGTATTCCTCACTGTCTACATGGCTCATCAACCAAGGCTTTAGAGTTGTGTTTTTTAGAGTAAGCCACAGGTCACAACCACCTGTTGCCCACTGTACCATCAGAGACTCCCATTTAGTTATTTCTGGGGACCCAATACATAGTATTTTTGAAAGCAATTCTCAGTCAGAATTAAGAATCACTCCTTCGGCCCCTAATCAAATAGGTGGGTCATTCAATTTACCTCAACAGATTTTGCAGTGTAAAGGTAAAGGCAAGCTTCTGTATACTTCAAAGAGGTCTGTGATTCGTCAGAGTTAACTGTGTAAACTCTGGAAAGATTTGAATGGAAACGTTCACACCTACACATCCCATTACACATGATGAAAGTCTAGTGCCTTTGGCATAAGGGTCATTGTCTAGTGTCTAGTTGTGGGGTACCCTAAACGAAGGTTCCTGGGTAACTGGAAGTAGGAATTCTTCCACTCTTCACCCTGTGACTCTCTCAAGTCACTTTAATCTCTCCCTATTTTACTTTTTCCTATGAAACTGGAATAACATTTTCCTATAAAGTTCCATAAATCCTATGGAACTGTAGTCACAATCAATTAAAAGAGCCCTTAGGTAATGTGCTAATTGCCAATTAGCAATAAGCAGACCCACACTGGCAGAGGATGTCTGTCAAATGTCAACTGTGTGCATGGATTTTACAGGTCTTCACTCACCCCATCTCATTTGTCTTCCAAATATTTCAGTTTCTCTTTCTGTGTGTGTGTGCCCTTCCTTGCAAATAACTCCGTGACAGAAATGTAGTTTGGTCTTCAGCAAGGCCATATGCAGCTATGTAATGAAAATGTATATATTGCATGATATTTGAGTATTCTAACAGCAGAGGTACAGGAAATATCTCATATATACAAGAGATAATGAAAGGATAAGACAAACTGGTTAACTACAGTTCTCTGGTTTCACATAGAACAAGTTCTTTTTACCTTGGTGTCTCAGATTAAAGTCCTACTATTCATTAAAATATTTTCAAGTTGGCATTTCTGTCATTTTAATTTAAATCTCAAGGATAGGAATGATGAGGAAAGAGCAAGTCTCTATCTAATGTCCTTGATGCACACTCACATAAAGTTGGTCGTGAATGTTGGCCCCATGCTTCAGCAAGGTCTCAACCACCCTCATGTGGCCGTACTGACTGGCAGCCAACAGGGCAGTGCCTCCGTCCTGTGGACAAGCACAGGGTGAAACGTTAGACACAGCACAGGCACAAACTTTATCCAGCCAGGGTGACCCGTAGAGTAAGGACTCCAGAGAGGAATTTCCCACAGAGGACAGCAAATTTACTTTTACTTTCCTTCCTTCTATTTTTCATTATAATCACGACAGAGTTCATCTTAAGCACATTATTCTGTTGCAAGTTTGGGTGACTTGCTTGAAAGGCCTCTATTGTTGTTCGATTCAGGTATCATGCTTAATTGAGAAATTTCCAAAGTGAAATGCAAAGTCAACCACTTGCTTCTCAAATAGAAAAAACAAAGAACAGAAAGTCTGTATCAATCACGTTCTATCTTGGAATAACCAGAATGGTTTCCTGTGGCTGTTGATGAGACCCACTTGAAAATCATTGATTTCTCCTGGTGGTGCTACCCAGAGAGGTTAAAGTGCTGTTATGGGTAACTTTCTGGGACCGTTGCCTTCATGGAACAAAATCTGCATCCACTAAAAGAGTAGGTAACTTCAACATAGTCCATGTGCCTTTAACTATGCTCCTTAGCATTTCCTTTGAACATGTGCCAATTTGCCCAGGTCTCATTTAAAATGTGGGGCCCTAGAACCAAACAGAATAATGTAAAGTAGATGTGGTCTGATGTGAGTGGGACACTCCCCTACTTTAATCTCTGCAGCCTAAATTAGAATTAGCTTTTATGTCAACCACATCACACTACTGACTCATTGAGTTTGTGGTCAACTGAGACTCCTAATGGTTTTTCTCTGGTGCTGCAGCCGAGGCATTATCTTTCCCCATCTAGGATTGCTGTGTTGTTTGTTTGGCTCTGCAAACTGGTATGTGGACATTTGAGCTAATTACAAATAATGCAAGAACATGCAATTTGGTTTTAAAGTACAAATCATAAATATAAGGCATAAATAAAAGATAGTATGGTTTCTAAGTTTGAGTGTAGAGTTTTCATTGTCTGATTCAGTGGGTCTGGGGTGAGACCCAGAAATAGGCCTTTTGACCGCAGCATGAGGCCTTTTGGCCTTTTGGCCTTTTTTGGTCAATAATCCTTTTGGCCTTTGGCCAGTCATGTGAGGTAAGTGTGGTGTGCAGTGGAGCTTTATTTGAGGAAACACTGCCGTAAGTGCCTGTGTGTAGAGACAGGTGACTCTTGGGGTATGTGCCCTACTGAGTGAGGCCTCACTAAAGGAGGACAGTGGTGTAAAGGGAGAAGGTGCTTGCGCTGTAGTTTGAAGGGTGGAAAGTGGAGGAAAGAGACTAAGGCATGAGGCGGCTGGTGGGGGGGGGCATCAAGAAGTTGCTCAAAAGCAAGCAATGAGTGCCAACATTTCTGTTTCATTCTGTCCATTTTCCCAGTCCTTTTCCCAATGAGGTAAGAGAATAAATAAAGTATGACTGTCATAGAAGAGCTGATAACCTTTTATCTTTAAAAACACATTTTTGTGGGATCAGATTTAATAACAAGGAGAACAAAGTCGCATTGATGAGAGGATCATTTTAAAACTCAAAGCCTCTCCATACTCTTTTCTTCACATGGAAAATTCTAGGACACCTGCAGTTGACTTCATGGAAACATAAGGAATTGCTCTCCGTGGGCCCCATGTTCCATGGGTTTCTGGGACATCACAAACTGGCTCATGTACAAAGACTTCAAACCAGCATTAACTTGTTTGCCAAGAAGACTGGAGCGGCCATAAGGACACATGTTACTGTTCTGACTTAGTTCAAAGTTTATAGGATTTTTAGTTGTATCACTTTCATGATGAAAGGTAAAAATGATAATTAATATAAAATATACGTACACATATTTTGAACTACCTTATATAATATAGTCAGCATGTTTGGTGGCATGTATCTAGTTCCACAGTAATTTTTAGAAGACAGAAAGCCTATTTAAAAATCAGATCTACTAACAGTGTTTTAACAGTACAGCAACAACCACATAAACCATTGGAAACTCCCTTACCATTGAAATATCACATACAATGAATTAGAAAACCTAAAATTTCCCACTGAAGTACATTTGCAGGATCTTATGATGAGGCGAGAAATACATTGACTTTGACAAAAATGTTCCAGCAGCTCAAATTTCTCCTACTACAAAACATTATCAAGTAAAATCATGTAGTGAACACAAAATTTAGGCTGGTGCAGACTCATATTTTTTAATCCATAGGATAAACAGGAAGAATCAATGACATCTTTAAAGGAAAAAACACAATTCTTCACCCAGCTTTACAAAATGTAACCATACATCACATAGTTCAGCAAGGACATCTCAGAAAGTAAATTGCTTGTGAGGTTGCGCTCCTTGAAAATCCCTTGGATTCACTAGGATCAGTTTAATACACTGATAATTCCTATTATAGTCCTCGGATTAACCTTGAAGTGGTGTAAAAAAAAAAAAAACACATGAAAAGGAAAAAGCTATAAATCACCTGTTGCTGTGTCCATTCTGACAGCAAAATTTAGCATTCAAGAGTAAAAAGCTAGCAGGGCAAGAAAGAATCTATGTAATTCTGTGTAAATTCTCCATTTGCAGTGCCTAGAGTAAAAACGTCATGTTTTAAATTGAAATCTTAGGACTACCCTTGAACCATTGCCACTAATCTTATGAAAGAAGAAGCACAAATTTGCACTAGAGATTAAGACACACTGTAGTGACAAAAGACATTTTTTCACAGGGTATGAAATCAAGAAAGTTCTCTTACTTTGGTCCTAAATTCAGTAGATGCCCCAAATTCAAAGAGAAATCTCACAACATCATTATGGCCTTGCTGGGCAGCAAAGAAGAGAGCAGTTGTACCTGACTGGGAGATAGAAAGAGTCTGGTTTTTAAAAGATATTTGGTTACACTACATCTATATATACACACACAGATACATTGTATATATTTGCATATATATACTTGAATATATTTACCTTACCTTTATATATTTGCAAAAAAAACCCAGTATTTTTGCATATAAACCTGTCTAGAAAAGAGCTACATTTGAACTGTCTAATCTTTGTTCAGAGAATTGACAAGATACTAGGAAAACTTAGCTGGGAAGAGAATGTCCTAAGGATTATCGATCATTCTGAGGCTTGTTTATAAGGGTGTGTGCGTGCGCACATGTGTGAGTATGTATGTGAGTGAGTGTGTGTGTGTATGACATTAGCAATGAGGTTTACCCCGGACAGGATGCATGCTAATACCTTCCCAGACATGACTCTCTATCTCAGGCTATTTTCCCAACTATACTAGCCCAAAAAACACAAATAGTAATACTATGTCCACTCATGGAGTCCTGCTGTGCAGTGCAAGAGTGAATTTCTCCTTGGTAGCCAGAGAAATGAGTAGAAAACATCCTTTCATTTCTTTCTTACAGTGGAGGATGCTGACTGCCAGAAACCTTAAGACATAACCAGATTTGAATGAAGAAACTTGGCTACAAAAGGAAAACTCTCACATTCTTATTAGACATTCAAATTTAAGATTTGTTGATATGCTAGTTACAAAAATCATGTTGACAGTAATGAGCTAATTTTGGAACATGCATACTATTAATCAGTGTTCACATTAAAGCAGCATTCTGTAGACAGTATGGGCTAGACTTCAGTCTAGGATGTGGATGAGGGCTTATATGTGTGCTCTAGACCCAAAGCCCAGAGCTTCACACACACACATGCAGTCCCTCTGCCCATGAGTATTACTAGCTGAAACTGTTGGTGTCTAGGATCATTAGCTTCCAGGTTGCCTCACTAGCAAGTCCTGCGTGTGTAGATGTCCAATGCCCCCCAAAAATAGAGCAGGTACTTTTTCAGGAAACAAGTACAGACAGCCCCCGACTTATAGTAGTTAGATTTTTAATGATCTTTCAATTTTATGACATGCATTCATTATGAATCACACTTTGAATTTGGAACTTGGGCATTCTGTTTTTCGTACAGTAGTTACCAAATTACATGAGCTACTCAACACTTGAGTATAAAATAGACTTTGTGTTAGATGATTTTACCCAATTGCTGGCTAATGTAAGTGTTCCCAGCACAGGTAAGGTTGGCTAAACTAAGTGAGGATGTATGTAAGTTAGGCATTTTCAACTTAAGGTGGTCACTGGGAGGTAACCCTATTATAAGTAGAGTAAGACCTGTATTCTGATATTACAAAATGGATCACAAATGAACCAGAGTTGAAGTCTGGCATAACAGCTTAGTTGCAAAGCATTATTAGTTGCCCAGCTTCCAGATCACCAGAGATGAGATTAGAGTCTCTCTTTGGCTTAACTGCTCTAGCACCTGAGGCTGGCAGTCTCAGGACACTGAGGGGACCAGTAGGAACTCATATAACAACATCATTTGAGATCACAGGTTACCTCAAGACGGGGCACACCTTGTAAGTCCTCAAGGGCTGCTGTGTTCAATGTATAATTGCTTTCATCTCCAAGAATATTAGCCAAGCAATTTGGAATCAAACAGATAAAAAAAAAAACACCAAAAACTATAAAACCACGCAGAGGTTGGAAACCAGTCTTCTTTTTCCAGCTTTTCTTAATTGTTTTGCAGAGATTTTTGTGTATATTGAATTTAGCCTTCAGAATCAAGTTTTTTGTTTTTTTTTTGTTAAACAGATTTGGATCATATTGTTTTTATTAGAGAAAATCTGTCTTTTCTTTAAACTTAAAATAAACAAAGACTAAAACAGAGAGGGGGAAAAACAAACATTGAGTAATTTTAGACTATAATTCTAAATGGGTCCAAACATTTTCCACCCATAAGAAAATTAGCTGCTGAAGTGAAAATGACCTAAAACAATTATCCAGTGTTTTGGAAATAGCTCAGAAGAATCTGTCTGTGAGAAGACTGATCAGATTTGCCGTAGTCTCTGCACTGTTCCTCTTAACAGGGCCTACTGCACACCCATGACAATGCAGACCTAGACACAGATTCTATCTGTCTGTCATTCTACCATGATCCAGGGAACAGCCAGATGGGAGATGGGAGGGATTTCTAGATTTCCCTTGGAACTTTTTTTTTTTTAATGTATTTATTTATGCGTACAAGAGCCTGGGTATAGGCCAGAGGTAGGTCGAGGGGTGGGGGTGAGAAAATTCACCAGAGACAGAGTAGGGAGCAGAACAGGTGAATACACTGAAATACACTGCTGGGGGGGGGGCAGCAGGTGAGACAGGAGAGGTCTACTGGGCTATGTGGGTTACTTCCCTGGCCAGGGATCAAACTTGTGTTGCAGTGGCTGATGATAGCTTCATAGTGCTGAGACTTAACCCCTTACGCGACCAGGGAGGCCCTCCTTTTGAACTTGTAACCCAGTTCTTAAACCTGTCAAGTCTTAATTTGCTCTGTTTAGAGGTGGTCATCTGGCTAGGAAGATGGGGTGTATTGCTTGATGAACATTTGGTCAACAAATGGTCCTTTCCAAACAGTTGTGGATCAGGTTCTACATGCTTTTCTGCAGAAAAATAAACATCCTTGTATGGTTTGGAGTTGTCCCAGGGTCTCCACCTCAGGACTGAGTCAGTGTGGACTGACAGGTGAGATTCACTCTAGGGCTCACCTTTGACTCCATCCAGTTTAATTTACTAGGTCCTGTATTAGTTCAGAAATATACTTAGCCTTCTGAGACCTGAATCCTAAAGAATGTTAAAATGTCTTCATCTCCCATTGTTTTCTACATTGAATCAAAGATGGATCATCTGGCCAGACTGAACTCCAAAGATTGCCCTTGAGTGAAGAGCAGGAGTAGGTTCACATTTTAATACTCATCACATGGCTTTTGTGGGGACAGTTCATTAAATGCATGGCCAGAAGAGTCTTTTGAAAACACGTTTTGGCAAGGGTGGTGGAGACAGCATAGTGAATTAGCCTTATTGAGAACAGATTTGATATAAACTCGTCTAAAAGCACAAATCCTAAGGTTTGTTTTTTTGTTTTGTTTTGTTTTGTTTTGTTTTGAACAGCATCTCATCCCAAGGGAAGAAGGAAGAACTGATTTAAGCTTGGGATGAAATGTATGCCATATTCAAGGAATGTGGTTAGGGATTTGTTACTCCAGCCAGTAACATATGCCCAATGAGACATGTTCAACAGAAGTACAATCAACGGTTAATCCTGAGGCTTATGTTGGAATAATAAAGTCTTCTATATGTAGGGGAAAAAGCAATGATTACTTTTATTTTTCTTACTAGTTCGCTATTGTGAAAACTTGGAGTCCCTGTCACTCAGATTATTCTGAGTCACGTGTCAGACCTGACATACCTCTCTCTGGAGATTGATGTCTGCTCCTTGCAGAACGAGTTCCCTCACACAGTCTATGTGACCAGCATAGGACGCTACCATAAGGAGTGTGGTGCCATGCTGATGGAGGAGAGACAGATAAACAGTTAGGTCATTGCTAGGTCAAATGCAAAGCGTCCAGCAGTAATTAAAATGTCTCGTGAAATACAATACAGACTAGCCAGGAAAAAGCAAGTGGACAAATTGCAGGGATTGAACATTTCAATTTAAAAATATACTTACAACTTAAAAATATACTACCTTTAGAAAGGCAGTCCAAGTGAACCAGGGTTACTGCATTTTAATGCAGCAGTGGTGTAATGATCACATTTTATGATTCAGTCAAATAATTCTTGAGCCAAAATACTGTTCTTAAGGCAAAAAAGTTAATTGGCATTAATTGATTTTCTGAGTCTTGATGTCTCGATGACATGAGAGATTGTAGAAGTAAAAGTTCAGAGCCTTGGTCCGACAGGTGGTCCAAGTTCACCTTTGTCATTGACCAACAGTGTCACCTGGGGCAAGCTGCTTCTAATTCCTGGGGTTTGGTTACCTCTTTGAAAAGGGATGGGTGGGATGATTACCAAAATCCCTCCAATTTTAAGAGTCAAAGACTTGAGGCACACCATCAGATATGAGCCCTTCCAGTCCAAGCATACTTCTGTATTTTAATTTACAGTTGTTTTCAACGACTTAAAATTATAACTTTAACCACTCCCCTTGCATATCTAATGACCAGCCTTTTAGGGGTGGGTGACAAGGAAGAAGCAGACAGCTCTGCACCTGAGGAAGGTTCACTAGGTCCAGGAGGGATAAGTGACTTCCAGAAGCGTTGTGTTATTCACATCTGCGGGATTTTGTAAGAAACCAGCATAGTTGAGTGGCTGTTGACTGTATGATCCTGGGATGGTTGTCTAACCTTTCAAAGGCTATAGTAAGGAGAATAAAAATACCTGGCTTATTAAATGGCTCATGAGGAGTTCGAGCAATGTACTTAGTCATGTCAGATGAATTCAGTAAATGTTAGGTGTTAAAAATAATGTTACAATAATTCAGTAAAGGCTAGTTTATCATCCAACTTTTGTTGATTACTGTGGATGGCAGTGTTAGTTTTGGGAAGTCCTGTTTGTTATATAGACATTCAATGGGCCGTACTTCCATTATTCAGTTGAACTGCTTTTACTGTCTTTTCTAGGATTGGAGAGGTAAGTTTGGTATCACTTCTTCTTGAATGTGAGAAGTTTCATTTAGATTGCAGATAGAAAAAATTTTGACATACAGCCAGTTTGAATACGAAGCTATGAAAGTATCCTTTATGTGAGAAGTGAGAACATTCTTTCTCATGGGTCATAGTGGTCTCAAAGTACAAATCAATCATGAATGAGAGGAAGCACAGAACACCTAATTTGGATACTTCAAAAAGAAAATATTAAGTATTAGGTTCACCTATTTCAAAAGAAAGATGAATATAACAAGTAACAAAAATACTTCTTTGTAGTTCATTTTCCAATTCTATATCATGGTCAAGCAAGAAAAAAAATCAGAAGTTGGGACAAAGGCGACAGAAGAAAGATGTGGTATCTGCTTCCATATTAAGCTACACAAAAGTAATTTTTCTATTAAAAGCTATTAGCTTGGCTGATTTTAATTCTCTAAAGATTACAATGGTTTCATTTCATTGCCTGATATTAGTTTCTTTAAAATTAGCTGATTTTGAACAAAGGCTATAATGGCTATAAAGGCAGTCAGGGCCATAACAAACAAGGCAGGAAACACACACATTCTCACAGCTGACACAACTAAGAGGCTCTTCTTGCCATCGCACATCTTTGTGGCAAATGTGTGTTAGCGTGAGAAGCAAAGCAGAAAATGTTCACATCACAGAATACAGCACTAAGCTAGGAGTGGAAGATGAATGGACATCCACAAATCAAAACTTTGCCATGCAGTGGGTGGCTGACAGATAATGTATTTGTGCTCTCCAATGACATTTCTTGGAAATGTCTGACTGTGGCCACAGACAAGCCCTTGGGGCCTTTCTCACATGCTATCAGCTCTCACAATTGTGGTAGCCTAAGGTCATTTTCCATGTCTGCCACCAGGCTCCACATTTGGGCGGCATGTGGAGGAGGCAGACCCCACTCGCCCACCCAGTGAAATTTTGAGGTGAGAACTAAGGCCTGGATGCTGTTCCCAGATGTCTCCCTGCCTCACAGTTACTACCAATCTTAGAGGCTCTTTCAAAATCAACAAGGTGTCTGAAGTGTAGATTGCTCCTTTGGGTTAAGGAATCATCTCCAGAAAGATCCTGACAAAATGACTTTTTGCTATAAATGAGACACCTAGAAATGGATCAATATCTGTTGATAGAAGTAAATTTTAAACCAAGGTAGACTGGTCGTTAACAGAGAGGCAGCAGGGTAGGAGAGAGCAGGACTATGGACTTCAGTTGGGGAAGGAGCACTGAGAAGGCAGAACATGTGGGGTGCTATCTGGGAGGCAGGATGTGTGGGGCACTGTGAGGTGGCCCTGGTAAGTTGGAAGTCAGGCAGAGGTCAGAGGGAGTCTGCAAAGGGGAGACTTCGAAGCAAAGGGGGAAAGTGGTCATTCAGTGGCCTGTGGTCACCGAGGCCACAGGGACAACTGGTCAACTTACTCTAGTGTGCACTGGGAGGCTGCTAACACCCAAGCAAGACCAAGATGACCAGTTCATACATACCCATGTGGGTCCTGGCAAGGAACAGATGGTGCATTCACATTAGGATACCTCGAAGAAAGTTTAAAGAACAGATTACTTGTAACACTGTGCTCTGGCTGTCCGGCAGCTACAAAGCAGGGTGTAGACCTGGGAGCCCACCAGTGAGGCTCCACAGCTAGAGCTGGCCTGAAGGCTCAGGGAGGGGAGGTGGTGGCGCCTGGGATGAAGGGGGAGGGGACGCTGGGGAGGCCACAGGGCTCCTCAATGTCCCTGCCTCACATGGGATTCCTGCCATGTTCCCACAGGAGAAACCTAACTGGAAGCCAGGGAATCCCCTGGGGGCCGGCTCCCAGGTCAGACGAGGGCACAGGGCAAGCAGCAGTACAGGCAGGAGACTGGAGGTGCAAACTAAGAAATCCCGCCGAGATGGCCCCATGGGCAAGTGACGTCTCACTGTCTTCTGGCTGATCTCACCACATGTGTGCAAGAGCTGGACATGGTTCACCCTGTTTTCAGGAAAACATTTTTACTTAAATCCTAAATCCAAAATAGCCCTTCCCACTCCTGCCTTTTCTCTCTTGTGAGTCCTCTTTGTTCCCAGAGATGCAGGGACAGCCCACAGGAAATCACTGCCTCAGCGGAAAGGGACAGCTCTCTAGGGGCGCCTGCCAGTGAACAGTAGTATTTAAATTTCCCCTTCATTGCCAATAAGAATACTAATATTCACAAAAGTACTGCAAAGATAAGAGGATGGATGGAGGTGGTGTATGGGTGAATTGGTGGTGGGAATTCTATGGGGACCGCACCTGAGAAAAGAAAGCAAACATTGAAAAAACAAGCAAAGTTGAAGAAGAATGAATAAGAAAAGCGTGGGAATTATAGTTAAGAGGAAATGGCCTGAATGATGTGGCAAGTTAGAGCCAAGAAGTGACATGTTCTGATCATCCATTTTTAACAGGACCCCTTGGGCTGCCTTGTCAGAATAGGCTGCGGGAGAAAGGACAGGCGGGAGATGAAATTACCCCCTTTTAATCAGAGCATCACCGTGACCTTTATTACTCTTATCACAGTGGAAATTTTATGTATGATTGTGTGATTCAAATGCTTGTTTTCCCCTGGACCATAAGCTTTGTGAGGCGTGAGACTAGCGATTGTATATAATCTTACCATTGTTAAATTATGAGTGTCAAATACAGAACTTCAACTCTATTAGCTGTTCAATAAGTATTTGTTGAATAATTTAGTGGGAAAAAAAAAGAGGCTGGGTGGCTGCTACCATTTCTCAGTTCTCTAATGCCTGTAAGGAAAAAAACCTTGCTCTTTGACCACAGCAGCCCTGTTCTGCCCTATATTATCTCCACCTTTTCACAAAAGCACTTGGTTTGAATCCTTTCACTCAACACTTTCTCCTTGGAACTTGCCAATTCTGATGCCCAACGAAGTACCTCTCTCTTTAGTGGCCTCCTTTTGTTCAACGCATGTGATTTTGTTTTCCTGATAGGTATCCAAATTCACCATGGGACCATGGACTTTCTGAAAGGGCTAACGCAAGGCAACACACAACATAGGAAGGAAGCATTGTAAAGGGAAATGTGTTTCTGGGGCGTTCTCATGCCAGTGGGGAAATGGCGTGCTCTTGGCATGCATATACAGACTGGATGCATCCATACACTGTCCCTGCAGTCCACATCCACCCGGCCGCTGTTCAGCAACAGCCTGAGCAGTGCCAGGTTTCCTCTCCTCGCTGCCCAGAATGCTGCGTTGGCAAGTGGAGTTTCCTTCTGTGGAGGCAAAATGAAACAGGGTCTTAAAATTGACGCTTGTTGACATGATGGCTTCTATGCGAAGATACAAGACCATTCTAAAGGGAGTATTTCCAGATGTGCTCTGGCATTTGAGAGATTGTTCCTCCAGCAATAGGTGACTGTAACAGACTTGGTTACGGAATACTTTGTCTTACACCAGCCATAATGCTGTCAAGAAGCGCAAGGCTGTTGATAACACAGCACTATTAATACCCTATTTCCCACCAATGTCCTCACTTTCCTGCCTCTGTGTCTTTGTTCACGGTTTCCTTTTTGCTCGAAATGAATGTTTCCCCATCCTTCAAGGCCAAGGCTCTGTTTAATGCTATTTCCTCCCTGAAATGTTCCCAAATCTCTCTCCACTTCTAAGCAGAGCGAAATCTCCTCCACTTCTGACCTCTCAAAAGAGTTTACCTACACTGTTTCTATGCCACAACACTTTCTACTTAAGTCTAGCAATTTGGGTGGAGGCTTCACTTTCCCTCCACCGAGTTTTCCTTGCTTCAGCTGGAACTTGCCCGAGGTTTCAGTTGAGAACAAGGGCCTTGGGCAGAAATTGCTATTATGTGCCCTCATGTGGCTCCTCACTCCACTTCTGGGGTATTCTAAGGATGCAAAGTTAATGTGAGGAACGGATCTGTAGAAGGAACAGAACTGGAAACTTTCTCCAAGATGAGAGCGGTAAAGTTGTAGAAATCAAATGAATTTGGAATTATAGAGACTAGTCTGTACTGGGGTTAGGGGAGGATTGCCTTTGGAATATGACAGCTCTGGGTTTTAGCCCCAACCCTGGGAAGTGATGTGACCCTGAAGAGTCTGAATTTCCTCTTTTCAGATGGAGGTTGCATTGCCTGTCTTGATGTTTATGGAGAGGACTAAATGATGTAGATTTCATTAGTCAGCACCATGCTTAACACATCACAAATGCTTACAAATGCTAATTTTCTTCTTTCCACTTTTTTTTTTTTTTACAAAGTTAGAATCGATAAGCAAAATTTAATTCAGGGCACTGACACTAATAAAAATTTTGCTGGTCCAGGATTTTTCTAATATTCAAACTGCAACAAAAACCCTTTTTGGGGGGTGGGCCAGTGGAGCACAGTGGCGTTGAGACACCTATCTGAGCCAAAGTCTTTTTGCCATATGCTTTTTAAGTATATTGATAAAGTATTAAGTATAGTGCCTAACTTTACTAAGTTAAAAAGGAAAGATGGGCCCTCCCTGGTGGCACAGCGGGTTAAAGCACAGCACTAAGAAGCTAAAGCCACTTCCGCATGAGTTCGATTCCCGCCTGCCCCGGAGGTGACCACATGGTGTGGCAGACCTCTCCTGACCCGCCCACTGCTCCCCTCAGCAGTGAACTTCATCGATCTGCCTGTTCTGCTCCCCACTCTGTCCCTGGTGAATCTTCTCACCCTCCGCATCTCTGGCCTGTACCCCAGTTCTGTATGAATAAATAAATCTTAAAAAAAAAAAAAAAAAAAAAGGAAAGAACAACTTCAGCTTCTCGAGGGAGCCATCGAAATGAAGGCCCAGAGAAAGCAGACTGTGTTGGTGCAAGGATTATGTTTCAGAAGTCCTTCAAGCACCTACGTGGCTTAGTGGACTTAACGTGCCAGCCTAGGAGGTGAGAGCGTGGTGAAGTGGGCAGAGATAAGCAGATTACAAACATACTTTGAATTATTTCCTGGTTCAGTGTGGAGAAAAAAATTACCTCAAATGCCAGAGGAACAACTGGCTTTCCCCAAAGGAGTAAACTGAAGGTACTTGGAGTTCGCAAGGCAGACGGCAAGGGTGTAAACACAAGTGTTGCAAGGGTGTAAACACAAATGTTGCAAGGGTGTAAACACAAGTGTTTGTGGCTTTTGCACCAGGCTGTGTCTAATGTTTCAGAAACTGAGTGAAGCAACGGCAAGGCAGGTTTGACTTGTACAATAAATCAACACAATGCCCTTTTTCATACTGGGATTGCACAAGACCAAAGAGAAGTTTGAGGGGCGGGGGTTCATTAGGCAGAAAACTTCATATGTACCCTGGAACAGCTCCGCTGGCTTTTCCTGAAACATGAAAACTTGAGAGTAATAAATTGTAAATAATTTTCAGTGACCCGGTTATGTCACTTTCAGCCCAAAATACCTTTCAAAATCCACTTGCAAACCACACGCTTTTATTGTCTTTACAAACTTTGCAGTCAGGAGCCTTTTTAGTCTCTAGGGCTAAACATTTTGAGTTCCTTCCTATAAAGTCCACTTCCTAGAAACGAATCCTCATGAAAAACTGTGAACATTTCCTTTTGCATGCAGGTAGGAGTGGAGGCATGAGAGAGCAGTCCACCTGGGGTAAAGCCTCCATGTTAAGGGACTTCACATTTGATGTTAAATAGCCTTCACAGTGGGTGATCTAACTCCTGTCTGTCCTGGTAAAAGGAGAATGTTAGTGGTACCTCATTTATGTGTTGTTGGGGGTTAAAAGAGATCACATATGTAAACACACTTAGATAGTGAATGCTCACAAAGTGTTACAAATGTGTGGTTCCAACAGCTCTTACATGCATGTGGACAAGTGTTCACCACCATGAATTAGGGACAGTGGCCCCGGTCAGGCTAGAACTAGAGATACAAGTCAACCTTGAGCTTTGATGAATGGTTTATTACCCAGTGGGAAAATTGTCATGACACAAGACCTTGGAAGTTGTCATCAGGGGCCGTCCTGGTGGTGCAAGGGGTTAAGTCTCAGCACTGTGAGGTTATCCAC